AAAACTTTTTACACTGGAATATTTTTACTTTTTACACTGGAATATTGACAACACTATAATTTAACCACAAATGCTGACGATACAACAACAAAGCGTTCCCAAAGAACCACTTACCTTACTGCACCACTTATATAAAGCTTTGGCATTTATATAACAACGCAAAACAAAAGAGCTCCTCAGTCTGTAGTTCTAAAATCAAGAAGAGAATTTGCATTTTTGGAACCATGATTTCTGATTGTAAATTTCTTTTGTTTTTGATTTACACAAATCCAAATTTGATTTATGCTTCAGTGGTTAACATAGCTACTTGAAGGGAACAGAAGAGAAATTACACAGTAATACCTCAAAAAGTGATTTTTAAATATTTATTTTTATTATATATTTTTTTATTATTATTATTTGCTAACACCAGAATGTGAGACTTAATGTACGTTAACATGTACGTTAACGTTTTTTTTAAAAAAAACAGCAGCTTCAAAATTTGTGTTTGAGATAGGCCTATATAGTGTTATGTTGTAGAAGTTTTAAGTCTCTTATAATAATGATAACCACAGACCATATTTGATTAATTGAAAATTGCTTTTCCACACACACTTCATCTATCTATATCTATCTATCTAATAGTCATAGACAGACAGACAGATAGATAGATAGATAGATAGATAGATAGATAGATAGATAGATAGATTAAAAGCAATTGCATTTAAAAAAAATATTTTTAATGAAACTCCCAACCTAATCTCATCACAATGTGATTTGTATAAAAACAATGTGCTCTCTGTGCTCTTCTTAATTTTGTTTCATCTGAATGCCAACATTTGTAAGATTAAGTCAGTCAAAACAAGTTTTGAGGTTAATTGATCTAATTTTGTGTCTTCAAAATAGTCTGTGGCCTATTCTGTGTTATGTTGAATTTCATAATCTTGTCTGTTTGTTAATAAGGGATTTGTGAAGACAGAAATTTGGCCCAGAAGGCTCAGAGTGCCATGTTACTGTTATTATTTTTTATTTAATACGCAGTGTTATTATTCAGTAATTCCATGAGTTGTAAATTTCAGACATCATCACTATTCATTAAAACCTATAGGCTAACTGAGCAAAAATTATTCTATTTGAATTTGTGTTGCTATTATGACATCTTTAATTTAAAAAAAAATCTATCAAATTAATTCTTTAAAGGGGTCATATGATGCTGCTAAAAAGAACATTATTTTGTGTATTTGGTGTAATGAAATGTGTTTATGCAGTTTAAGGTTAAAATTTTTACGGTGGGCTAGAGTGAGCGGTGGCCGGTGGGCTTGAGAACGGCGCGGGCTTGCGGCACCCACATGTGACGACCCCGGGCTGGACTTCGCTTCGTCCACGGTGAAAGCCGATCCGGCGATCCACAGCGCGAAGTTGATTTATTTCCTCAGCGACCAGCACGGATCAGCTCCAGGCATGACGAAGCGGATATCGTCCTCTTTTGGAAGCCCAAACAAAGTAGTTTCGCTTTCACAACGAAACACAGCGTCTCCATGACATGGCGGCGGCGGCAACAATACTACAGCAAGAATAAAAGTTACACCTTCTTTCTTTGCGTGAACATTTGGGAGGCGTTATGCAAATCTTCCCACATAGTGAGGTAGATATGTGGGGGCATGTTAGAACGAGCCGTTTTAGGTAGGTGTGGCTGACTCTTAACTTTTATAAAGAATATCTCTTTGGATTTGAGACTTTAGTCTTTGCAACTTTACAGATCTTCTTTATGCACCAAGAGCTTGTAACACTCCAAAGAGAAAGGAAAAATTGAAATCGCATCATATGACCCCTTTAACTAAATAGTCAAAACAGTAGATTTGATTATTTTGCAATTTTACATTATTTTATTTGATATTAATCTTATATGAATTTATATTATAGTTACATATAATATAAATAACATTATCAATGCAACAGTCACCAAGAAAAAACAGGTTTCATGTTTGCAACAGCCCAAATAAGACACATTGGATTAATGCTATTGCAGTATGAATAACATATTGATCGAAAACTCATCTGCATGAGTTTTTTAAATATTTATAACCTTTAATTTATGAACAAGTAGCCGATGTGTACAGTAGCAGAAGCTCAGCTCTGTCAAGGGCTCATTTCTATCTTCTCCAACAGCTAGTCTGCATACTGCAGTTGGTTACTAAGCAACTGTAACTAGATCATTCCCCTCCCCCTTCTTCTCTAAAGTCATGCCACGTAGGCACTGGCAAATGCACCAGGTGGACTGTTCATGGAAGGCAGAGGCCTCGAGCTGAACTCTATTGATTTGTGTACAACCACGACTAGAATTATATATAAATTAGCCAAATATAAATAGAATGTGGCATCAAAGCCAAGATTATGCTATTATGTCTGTATTTTCTGAAATAAATAATAAATAAATGATAATGTGATATTATCGCCCCTAATATCAGCACACAAATTTGGATGCACATGACAGTGTAGTACAGAATAAAACAAAGATGTTAAATAAAATATGGGCTGGTCTGAAAAATACACAGATATCTAAGAGCCCTCTTGTGGCCTTATGAATATATTTTTAGTCTGTGGATCTAAAGAAAGTTGCAGTTCTTCCAAGGTAATGTATGCTTGAGAGTTGACTTATAAACATTAAATCTGTGCTTATGTTAGTACACACACACACACACACACACACACATATATATATATATATACACACGTATATTTGTCACAGGTATACCCTAGTGAAAAATAAATTTACTAAAATGTATTTGAAATACATGTATTTCATGCTAAGTATACTACAAATATATTTACATATGTATGTACTTAATAAAAATACCCTGCAATTGTACTTTTGGTATACTAAACTTGTATACTTAAAGTCTGCTAAATTGGAACAACTAATTTTGTGCGGAAGTAGTGCTGAAGTCCAACTGAAGACATACTGAAGTATATGTAATTGTTCTGAAGTGGAACTATTGCAAGTATACTTCAGGTACACTTTAAATATCTTACATTTAAAGACTGATATTATTCAAAGATCATACAATCCTCAACAATAGTAACATTAAAACATATTCTAGGCTTAATATTAAGAAATGTGCATTGTGCACAAGTATTACTCCAAATAAAGTTTAATTATATTTTTTTATATCATAAGTCTCGAGTGATATGTCAGTAAATATGTTAACAGATTTGAACTATACTTAGTAGGAAATAAATGAACATAAATCTAAGAATAAATCAAGAAGAACTTTATCAATGTCAAGGAAGAAACCTACCTACAAAGCTACTGTTTTAGGCACTTGTGTAAAGTGAGGATGCTGTCAAAAATAATGTCATAAATAGATTTTATTTATCAATTAACTTCTAACAAATCAACATTTGGTGTGTCTCAGTTTTTTCAGTTTCTTCATGTCATTCCAGGCAGACTGGATGACGATGAGATCAGATCTCTGTGTCAGACTCCTTGTGCATACAAAAATCTCAATGGATCATTAAAATTAATGGTAAAAGGAGTGTTTGATCATGTAAACTGATATTTCCTACTGACACACTACACCAAAAGATAGAAATAACTGCCTTAAAACCATTTTTTTTGTTGGTGAAAATACTAATGGCCTACTGTGTCTGTGTCTGTGTATATATATATATATATATATATATAATGTACATAACATATGTGTAAACATATTCTCAACCATTGTCCAGTACATTTTTGGTTTGGGGTCCACAGTGAAACATTTGTGCGCTGAAAAAAAAGTGTCCACTGATTGTATTTGTGCAGTGCGCCATCATGTGGCTAATATAAACTATGCACTTAATTTACTTCCCTTTTTCTTTGCTTTCGAAGTGTTCAACTGAGAATAATTCAACAGCACCCCCCCAAAAAATCACAACCTCGGTTACAAAAATAGTTATGTATTTAGAAGTGTGATACACCAAGAAATGTGTGTCTGCTTATGGTTAAACTTTTTTTAGGTTTCAAAAGTATTATTATTATAATAAAAAAACACTCATATGAATTTGATTTGAATGCATATTATGGATTTAATATGGTATCATATGATATGCATTTTGATTCAGTAGGCTATATGAACTGAGACTCTGTTAAATACTGTTAAATAACAGGATGGAACACAGGAAAGCCAAAGCCTAATCCAAGAATAACCCATTTCCTTTACTTATAACCTTAAGAGGTCAAATCATGCATTTAATCTTTTGAGGTCCACTTATAAGTTATTTTTTTGTTTTTGTTTTTTTTACAATATAAACAGTCTCATTATTTTTTTCATGACCATTTTCCACTCTCTCTAAAATTAAGCAGGCTGTTTTTGTGCTGCAGGGTACATTTAATGCTCCCTTATTTTAGAAACAGAGATTTTCTCGGATAAGATAAGGCTTTCAGGTTTTCTGTTGCGGTTAAACAGTACTTAATGAATAATTCTTCAACACAAGTCGCTTTGTAAAGTCTATATCACATTGATTTTTAAAATAATGTGTGTTCCTTGCACAAACTGTTCAAATTGGCTGACATAATTCAAAAATAAACTTTACTCACCTGTATCTAACATTGGCAAGTTAATACTTCAACTATTAACTATTCTAACAATTCAACACCGTGAAAGGTGACCATACGGGCCATTTTTACGGGACGCACCCTTGCCAGGATTTCTAATTGTCTAAAATATCCAGGTTTTGGCTGTTAGCACTGAGCAGGCCGATCGTTGTATGACATTATTTCACGAGAGCTAGAGAGCAGAGCAGACGGCTCCTTATGCTTTCAAATCGCTCTCGCCGTACTTTGGTGTCATACAATGATCGGTGCGCAGCTTCAAGTCGAACGAACGAACAAACACGTGCGCGTATTTGCATCGCTTTGATCGTTGTCACCTTCTCACGCGCGACGCGCTACGATTGGTCGATTATGTACAATACCTGCATGTTATTGGTCAAACTACTTTGGACGTTTTAGGCAATATAAAAATCATGGCCAGGACGTGTCCCGTAAATGGCACATATGGCCACACTATCAACACCACAACTATCAACGCGCGCCTTTATTCCATAACACCACGTTTGTGCCAAACGCTGATGCGCATTGGTTCGTCGTCGGTTTGGACCCTCCCGGAGCTCTTCCGGGTGTGGATAACCCACATTTCCTCCTGCCGACACGCATTCCCAAGAAAACATCCTGGATAACGGGCCGAGCTGCGTGTGAGTGCAAACCATCGAATGAAACAGAGCACTGGAGGTGGAAGACAGATAGTTCGCGAGATACAGGATATGTTTGACGACCGACTGTGGGAACCGTGGAATATTTGAGATGTCAGAGTGTCTTTTCCCAACACCATTCGTCAGCCAGCTGTTGTTCACGTTTCGAGAACGCCGACCTTCTCTGTACTGACTCTTTTCAATAAACAAGACATTAAGCAAGCAGTTTAAATAGGGAAACAATATGTGGCTATATACTTTGGCTATTGCTCTTGTTGTCATTGCGCATGAGGTGAACGGAGAGCCACATACGCGTCCATCCTCAGCGACGCCGCTCAATTCAACATTACCCCCTCAAGAAGAAAATTCATCACATAATGAAACAGATTCAGCGGTTGGATCTCGTATTTCTACTATTTTAAGGGATCTTCCTACCATCAAAAGCATTTCGATTTTCATCTGCGTATTAACAGTCGTGCTAATCACGTGCCTTGTCATAAAAATATTCAGGTAACATAATTTGTCCTATATTTAAATGGTTTATTATTTTGTTGGTCTGAGTGCTTGTGCAAATATTCTGTTATTGTTGTTCCCAAGAAAATGCCACCTTGCACATAATTGAAAATGGCGTAATTTTCGACTCAGTGGTAAATGTCTCTGTTGTTTAGTGTCACTGTTCTTCTAATATATATCATATGCATACTTCGTTTATTTCGGAACATTCTAGATTATCTGTCAACGCTGACACGTTGTCCCTGATTTAATCCTTTTAACGGCTTTGGAAGCAGATGGTTCGCCACCCGAGAACCGACTCAGAACCTTTATCTAGGAACCAGTCGAAATATTTTTTGACGTTCGGTTCCGTTAACAGATGCGAACGAAACTAAAATACTCTGACAGTGTTTGCAGCACAGTGTACAGCAAAAATATACAGAGCGCGAATAAGTCCGGTTTCTGAACAAACGAATAGTGACTCTTATGAGCCGGTTCTTTTTAGTGATTCAAAATTTAATGAACGAATGTGTGTTTTGTGGTACTTAAAACGAGACTTAGACAATGCAATGCAGTGACTGATATGTCAATAGGACATGTAATTGAATACATTATGAGTTTTGTTGAAGTGGTGTTTTATAAAAAAAAAAAAGAATGACATGATAATATATAAGCAGGATCATTTATTGGATTGCATTTGTCATATCTAGAAAGTCTGTGAAAAGTCTGTCACTATAAACACAGCCTTTTGAAGAATTGTATTATTTATGAATGAATATTAAAATGATCTAATTTGGCAACAGCCTGTGAAGGGAAGTAAATGACTTTCTTTTTTCAAAATTACAAAAAATTACCATTAATAGCTAAGGAATCGAAATCAGAATTTCCCATTGCCTAACTGGAAAACTCTCATACACTATTGAACATACAGGTCATAACCTTACTCACCTGTTCTCTCTATCCCTGGTTTGATTAGATCGGCAAAGAAGATCAGAAAAACTCGAAAGTATGACATCATCACAACTCCTGCCGAGCATGTAGAGATGGCACCTTTAAATGAAGAAAATGATGAAGAAGAGGACTCGACCCTGTTCGATGTCAAGTACAGGTGAGTACTTTACCACAACATTTGCTTACAACATTGCATAAGATCTTATGTATTAACTTTTGTCTTCTTTTAGTCATTTTTGTTTATAGGGGTGTTCCAGTGCTTTTTAAAATTGAAATTTTAAAAACCACGTTGATCGGAGGGGGACTAATGCCTAAACTAGTGGCATGTGGGTCTGGATCATATTTGATTTGTTTCCAAGTCTGCCTGTTAAATACCTCCAATCTTCACAGGAAAACAAGATTCAGTTTCTTCCCAGATTTTTGGCAATAAATGTAGTCTGTGCAGTGCAGCTACATATTTTTCTCTAGTTAACACAACATTTTAAATATGTTTCAGTAAACAGAGTAGCAACATAGTGGGACAAGGAAGTGGTGCTAAAAAATAGAACAAAGACTGAAATGTCTAAGGACTTTCATCTCATTAGAATAAAGTATTAGCTAATGGAAAATGCCTCCCCAAGCACTTAATGCATATTTGAACATTTTGCTGAGGAAGAGGGTTTATGTGCTACCTTTCTACCAGAAATGTTTGGTTTTTATACAGACTTAAGTTGTAAATGTTTTAAAATGTTAATGCTTACCATTTTTGTGTTGCTGGGCAATATCTGACAATGTACATTATAATAATCTAAAAAAAGACCAGTGTTTTAATGCCCGGTAGTTGTTTATTGACTATATGAATGTTCTTGGTGTGTACCTCACAGGTCACAATGGAAATAGTTGTGTTATTTGGAGGGCTAGTGAGCGTCAAGACTTGACTTCTCCCTTCCGTCCAATTGTTCTTTGACTGAGAAACTGCTTCCTTTTTGCTGGGCATGGCTCCCTGTTTATCAGCTTTTATTGACAACGTAGCTGTTTGATAGTGAGGCAAAGCAGTTTAGACCAGTTTGACAACTGGAAACTTGATATTTTTGTTAGTTTACTTAACCCTCTCATTTAAATTCTTTGCTTTTTCATAGGTGAACTACATTCTGCGCTCTGAGTCATTGTTGAAGATCTCTTTTAACCCCCCCCGGATACCTCTGTGTGAACACATCTATACAGGAATTGTGCTCGGCTTGAATCTTCGGTGAAAGCAGTGGTTTGTTTGTTACATGTTTTTTATGTATTAATATGTTTTGACATTCCAAACCAGCTTGAAATCTGATGTTTTATGAAAGCTTTTCTGTTGAAAGCACATAAAGTTAATCAAAGAGTGAAAACAAATTTTTTTTTCTTTGCTCCAAAGAAGGGAGATGCTAAAGTTAGTCCTCCACAAATTAATTATTGCTTTAATTATTGCACAACTTTTCATGTTTTTCCTTTTGCCCAAAAACATTCCAGTTGTTTGGTAGAAAGTCAGTAATTCAATATGATATATTCAACATTGCCCTTGAATGTATCAGGCAGCTTGAACATTTATTTTACAGTATATCATACTGAAGCTATTTTAAGTAATATTTTTGAAATGTAATCATATTTTTTTTGTAATTCCAGACAATTATTAAAATGATTGATTTAAAATTTCTACACATGGAGCTTACTTTAAGTGAGTTAGCTGTGCTTGAATCAGCTCAAAGTTTCAAATGAAAAGAATATAGATATATTTGTGATGGACAGAGATTTTTTCCCCCCCTGAATCCGACTATTGACGTTGTTAAATGGATGTTTATGTTCCAATACTGAAACTGTCTTTATTATATACTATTGTCTGTATATACTGTATGCAAATTATTCCTCTGAAATAGTTTATTTTTTAGACAGAAAAAAACATATTTTGATTTAATAAGAGTAATATGTTTCAAACCTCCCTATATTTAGCTGTGCTTGAATCAGCTCAAAGTTTCAAATGAAAAGAATATAGATATATTTGTGATGGACAGAGATTTTTTTCCCCCCTGAATCCGACTATTGACGATGTTAAATGGATGTTTATGTTCCAATACTGAAACTGTCTTTATTATATACTATTGTCTGTATATACTGTATGCAAATTATTCCTCTGAAATAGTTTATTTTTTAGACAGAAAAAAACATATTTTGATTTAATAAGAGTAATATGTTTCAAACCTCCCTATATTTTGAGAATTATTAATCTACTAACCACTAATTGTGCATATTTACTGTATAAGGGTTGAATGCATGTGTGAAAGAGGATGTGTGTGGACTTGGGAGAATATTGTTGCCGTATTGCTGCTCTCTGACATTGGGGGTTGTTTTTTATTGTCGCATATGTACACCTCCTTTTTGAATTAACTGGGTTTTACAGTGGAAAACTGCAGTGCCACACATCATGAAGGGTTTAAACGCATATATAGCTATCGTATCAGATATATTCAATTACATTTCCCAGGTTTAGAGCAGCATTGAAAGAATATCTTAAAGCTACAGCGATATATTGATGATATATTGTATTATGTGACTTTTCCTTAACACAGTGTGACTGTTTCTTGATGCTCCTACTAGATGTTAATGTGAAGGACTTATGTCCAGCATCTAAGGGTCAATAAGAATGTTTATTGAATTATAAATTGTTTATGATGTAGCTGTTATTGTCTGACTAGAAACTGAATATGTGATTCTCTCTCCTTCTGTTCTACTCTAAATGTTTCCAACTTCCTAATGTATTTCATACAAATCTGAATGGAGAGGAATGGAAAGTTACAAGTATTAAATGCGAGCGATTGCTGATGGCTGTAAAACTGCACTGTTAAGATGAAGTGTTATTTCTGCACTGTCTTGTCTAAGGTGTTTTTTTTTCTTCCTTTGGCATTCTGCTATAATTGTCTTAAAATACATGCTTTAACTTTTTCCTGGTTTTGTCTGACATGCTTGCTAGTCTAAACACTGGACAAATGTATTTTTTTTTCTTTCCAAAGAAGACTTGTCTATGTCTGTGCTAATTGTAGAATATTGTTTCTGAAGAGTACCAAATCATAAATGTACTTTTTGGGGGGTTCTTGATTAATAAAAATACTTTCTAAATGAAATAAATACAAATCTTAATGCATCAGAATTATTCAAACAAGGTTTGTCAAATGCGTCGTTTGATGGTTTGAGCTTGAATGTAAGTTGGCATATCTTAAGATCTGCCACAAACGTGTTAATAACTTGCAACAGCTTAAGAACGGAATAACACACAAGTCAAATTTTTCATTTGTCTGGCTTCCCTTTAGTTCAGTAGTCAAGCTTTAGCTGCACAGAATATTTTGGCTAACTCAACAAAAAATGACAAATAGATGCAAAAGACAAGTCTCAAAATTGGTGGTCCTTTATTGGTGTACACTCAAGGTACAAAACTCATTGAGGCTCTGACTCTGTCAAAAGGTAATATGTATTTTTAAAGTACTAATATGTATAATTTGGAGGTAAATAAGGAACAAAGATGCCAGTGACAGCTTTGCGTCTTTTTTCTTTGAAGTGTACACCTAGAATGTATCCACGTTAATAGCCCTTTTAGTTTTTTTAATTATTACTTTGAGATATAACTTAGAATCATGTTTTTTTGTGGAGAGTTTTGCTGAGAGAGTATGTTTCACTTAATCACATGGATACATGCCACTTCATACTCTGTCAAAAGGTAATATGTATATTTTTAAAGTACTAATATGTATAATGGAGGTAAATAAGGAACAAAGATGCCACAGTGACAGCTTTGCGCCTTTTTTCTTTGAAGTGTACACCTAGAATGTATCCACGTTAATAGCCCTTTTAGTTTTTTTAATTATTACTTTGAGATATAACTTAGAATCATGTTTTTTTGTGGAGAGTTTTGCTGAGAGAGTATGTTTCACTTAATCACATGGATACATGCCACTTCATTACTCGCAGAAGGCAGACACATTTTGTTCCACACGACACAATTCTGGCTTTAATAATGCACTTGAAGAAGCTTTATGTGGAATTTTGGTGTTAAATGAGCCTTCCATCCTTAAGTTGTGAAGCACCACAGAATATTGTAAATTCTCTTTTTGCCTGACATGAAAGGCTTTTTAAAAGTATTTTTCCAGTGATAAAGTCTTTTAAAACAAACTTTGGCTGAGCTGAGTCATTCTGGCTACAGCTACTCCTCACGCGTTGGTCACCCACAAGCCTTTAAAACACGCCACATTTCCAGAAATTTGCCTGACAAGACATCACGCCACATACTTCTCAGAAAACATAGGCTAAATGCTGTTAAGTGGCTCACAGATCATAAACTATTTAGCTTTTCCCAGACTGGATCCATTTTGTGGCATCTCCTGTTTTCTCAGTTCCCGTTTCTCTCTTTATTTAAACTCTATAATACTTTGTTAAAGGAATAGTTCACCTGTCACCGAACAATAAAGAATCAAAACACTTTCAAACAATATCTAGGGCATGTTGTAGTCCAGATTAAAATGTAAAAAAAGTTAGAAAATAAATAGCCTATTAAGTCTTCTATGGCATCGTGAAGCACCTTTATTTTTAAGAGAGTACAAACGAAAAATTGCTGCAAATAAGGCCATCTAAGATGTAGATAAGTTTGTTTCTTAATCAGAGCAGATTTGAAGAAATTGACATCAGTTGTTCACCTATGGATCCTCTGCAGTGAATGGGTGCCGTCAGAATAAGAGTTGACAAAAACGTTAGAATAATCCACACGACTTCAGTTCATCAATTAACATCTTGTGAAATGAAAAGCTGTGTTTGTAAAAAAACAAATCCATCATTAAGGTGTTATAACTTTAAGCCATCGCTTATGGCCAAAATACGGATTGCTTGTGGATTATTGTGGTGTTTTAATCCGCTGTTTGGACTCTCAATCTAACGGCACCCATTCACTGCAAAGGAAACATTGGTGAGCAAGTGATGTGATGCTAAATTTCTCCAAATCTGTTCTGATGAAGAACCAAACTCATCTACATCTTGAACGGTCAAATGTGCAGCAAATGTTTCATTTTTTTGAGTGAACTATTCCTTTAAAGTATAACAGCATGACTTGTGTGCGTTGGCTTAGCTCAGAGATCCAGCATCCAACTTAAAATATGCATTTAGATCTAAAGAATTTTACACAGCCTGTTACAGTTTTACCATACAATGAAGACAAAGAAGCTCTCATCTCCCCAAACATCTGGGCTATTTTGGGTGTAAAGTTAATAGGGTCCCTAACCACACAGGTCATTCAGTAAAAACAGAAACAAAAGGATCCCCATTTCTCCTCAAAAACCAGACACTGTGGTAATCATTAACACATCCTGAAAGCAGGAAACGTGGACATCTCTTCCGAACGTCCTCCAAGCTGTGACATGCAGTCAGTTGCGGCGTAATTAAGTTTAGTCATATTGGTTACAGACCGTTTCTATTTTTTTCAAAACACAGGGGTGCTTTTACGGATAAATGCGCTCATTATGTCGGATGGCCTGCTGACGTCTGCGGTGAGACAATTATCTATTTTTAACTTAACTGGAGACATAATAAGAGCAACATGTAGTGCTGCGAATGCTCCATGTCAAAAACACGACAGATCACATGGTTCAAAACACATGAGAAGCTCCTCGCTGGGAATGTGTTTATGCAGAAAAATATTCCAAACATTTCACTAATTTTGATTAACTGTCTCCAGAAAACCTCTAGCAAACAACTTCTAGGAAAACATCCTTTTATTAGACCTCAAAGCAAATGTAATGAAATTTGTCACTCAGCTATTTAAAAATTTATTTATTTTTTGTCCAAAATAAAATAACCCTTTAAAAATGTTTTTTAAAGATCTATCTATTTTCAAGAAGTTAAACGCTAAATTTATATATGTCTAGAGTCATGACATGTGATATAACCATTAAATAAAAAAAGTAATATTTTTCTTGATTACATGTTCACATCGAAATTATTTAAAGAAATTAAAATATTTTATAAAGGTTAAAAGTATTGCTTACAAATATCATTGTTTTTTTTTACATTACATTTGACCTTTTTGGGGAGTCGCATCACATTTTACAACCTGAAATAACCTTGCATTGTTGTAAAAATATCAAATTAATTTGTCTCATTCTAAATGAAAATTAATCTGATACTTGTTGACCTTCATAGTCATAAGGGTCTGCAGGGGTTCTTTCTGTGATATAATTTCCTGGTTTTTTTTTCTTCTGTTTGTTTCTGGATGTGTCACACCACATTACTTTTTATCAATTTGAAGTTTTAAAAATATTAATAAGCAATGAAGTAATTTTGTAAAGTAGTTTTTTAAAGAAATGTTGTTGCTTTTTTATCATTCATTTTTTATTAATTTATTTCTGCATTGCCCTGACATTTTTACTTTATGGCCCCCAAAAATATCAATTTCAAAGTCAATGTACACTACCGTTCCATTTTTACCGTTCCAAAAAAAATAAAAAAATAAAAAATAATGAATGCATGAATTTGACCAAAAGTGAGAGTAAAAACTTTTACATTGTTGCAAAAAT